AACTGGACGATAGTCATTCAGGCAAGAGGGGTTATTGTTCTTAACGATTGTACAACGATAAGTTGTATGCATCATTGCTGAATAAAAGTATTAAATAATGAAAAAAAAAATTTTCACAGGATATTTTAAGTTATGTTACTACAAGGTGTGGACCGTTTTAAAGTAGTCAGATAAATCCTAGTGTGATGAGATCCATGTGATATATTTACATTATTGACATAAGTGCATTGAGCGTTTATGGGTGACTTGACATTTTTGGTTACTTTTTCATTTTTATTACTTTTTAAATTGTATTTATTTCCATGATTTTTCAATTCTAGAAAGCACACTTTAAAAATTCCCGTATATATCTAGGTTTTCCAAGATTGTGGGAACCCTTGTTCTTGAAAAAAAAAAAAAAATTTAATTTTGCATTTGATTTTTAGCTGTTTATGCTTGTTTTCTCATATTTTAAATCGTTTTAATATATTTACTAATACTATATTGCATTTACAAATGGTGAAAAACCTGAAAGAAATGAAGAGCCGTTACAGGACCTACTGTACATACACTTGTATGAAAAAAAAAAATTACCTACAATCCAGATCTAGATTTAAAGAAGTATGAGCATCTTATTCTTCAACTAAACATTAGCAACAGTGTATGAGAGTTAAATCACCTCCAAAAGCACCTGCTGTACTCTATCTAGCTGTTTTTAGCACAACAACACGTTCTGTGTGAACGTCCTGATCTCTAACCTGTCCATCAAGTACAACAACACCACCGTTATACCAGCGGTCTGTTTTAACGTGATGCTGTGTTTGCGATGGCAGGCCCGTCTGTGGGGGTTTGGTCACCAAACTGAGGGTCCAGAGACGCCCAACCCATCTGTCCTCAACAAGAGAGAGCGATCAGAGGCCAGGAAGATCTGGGAGAACAAGAACTACGCCATCACACAGGTAAAGCCAGAGATGACAGTGATCATTATATGCCTATATGCATTTCTCATTGTTTTTCTGGGGCTCAAAATGCACAGTTTACCTGGTTACTTACTAAACACTATTAAATATACCAGTGTTGTACCAATAAATGTAGTTGGCACCACCTATTAAAGGCAGGGTATGTGATTTTTCAAAAACACTTTAGAAAACTGATTCGGGCCGAATAGCAAAACAAACGTGTAGCCAATCAGCAATAAGGGGCGTGTCTACTCGTGATGTGGAGGAGAGAGCTTTCAGTGCATGGGACGGACATTAGCCGAGCCGAGCGACAGAAAGATAGAGATGGCGGATAAAAAACAAAAGAGGAAAACGTCTGCGGAAGGATAAGGCAAGAAGTAGGACCCGTGTAAATATCGGATCAGCTTTCCAGCGCTGGAGAGAACTCAAGGAGCGGAGGCCTGCGATCGGACGCCGAGGTTGCTATGTTTCTTCTCAGTAGGTGAGTAACACCGTGTCTACAACAGCTAAAGTCTGCCTACACTGGACGCGATCAAACGACCGTTGAAAACCATTTGAAATTTGTGTCAGCACGTCATAAATAGAACCTGGCAGCAGTTTTCTGTCGGGATTTGTTGAGCCGCGCCGCTTACGTCCGTAGACACGGTGTAACATTGGTTTTGCTTTGTTTCACAGAACTAATCGTTGCCTGGGTTGCGTACGTATGTGTGGGGCGGAGCTATCAAAATAGGGGCAAGACCCTTTTGGGGTAGGGGCGTGTTTGTTTTGGTGATTTCAAATATCAACATTGGCTACCAGAAATCCCTTACTCTGCCTTTAACTGAATATTTCCGAAAGCCTCCAACCATGACTAATGTTTGACATTAATAAATATAATAAAAACAGTAATATGTGACCCTGGAGCACAAAAGCTGTCATAAGTAGCACAGGTATATTTGTAGCAATAGCCAACAATACATTGTATGGGTCAAAATTATGCCAAAAATCATTAGGATATTAAGTAAAGATCATGTTCCATGAAGATATTTTGTAATTTTCCTACTGTAAATATATCAAAACTTCATTTTTGATTAGTAATATGCATTGCTAAGAACTTCATCTGGACAACTTTAAAGGCGATTTTCTCAATATTTAGATTTTTTTGCACCCTCAGATTCCAGATTTTCAAATAGTTGTATCTCGACCAAATATTGTCCTATCCTAACAAAACCATACATCAATGGAAAGCTTATTAATTCAATGTATAAATCTCAATAAAAAAAATAAAAAAAATTACCCTTATGACTGGTTTTGTGGTCCAGGGTCACATATAATGACTGAAATATGAAACTGTATGTTGCTTGCAGAAAACTTTAATCAGGATATGCAGGTACTTTTGAATGGCCCTGAATGTAGAAAAGCATTTGCTGCAGAAGGTGTAGTTTCAGCATCTAGCAGCAGAGGCTAATAGGTTATGCTAACCAACCAAACCAGTTGATATGACCACTTTAACTAGTATTGAGGAAATGGTAATGTGTTTCACTCTTTGACCAGTGAGGGTCACTGCATCACCCATCTATATTTGTTCCATTCTGGTAGAGTTTCTTTGTTTTGTTTGATATGTTTGGCTTGTAATTAATTTGAAAAGCACCAATACCAACAAAATAACACCTCTTTTCAATCAAAGCAGAATGTATGTTCGGTGACATCTGAACACTGTAAAACATTTCCATTTACTTCAAATGAAACATTATTAAAGGGATAGTTCACCCAAAAATGAAAATCCTGTCATCATTTCCTCACCCTCAGGTTGTTCCAAACCTTGTGTTGAACACAAAAGAAGATATTTTGAAGAATATGGGTAACCAAACAGTGGTCCCCATTGACTTCCATAGTATGGAAAAAAAAAAATACTGTGGAAGTAAATTAGGGACCAAAATTTTTTTTCATTCTTTTCCAAAATATCTTATTTTGTGTTCAACAGAAGAAATAAACTTTTACAGAATTTTCATTTTTGGGTGAACTATCCCTTTAAGTATCAAATTGGCTATACAAGTTATTTTAAGTCATATTTTTAAAATCTTGTCTAGTTGAATCTCGTAAAACTTCCAAAAGTTGAAATTGGTTCAATTATATATATATTTTTTTTACATTTAAAACATTTAAGCATTTAGAAGACGCTTTCATCAAAAGCAAAAGCAATTCGTCACAGAGCCATCAATATACATTGTATAATGCTTTTATTCAGCAAAGATGCATTAAATTGACCAAAAGTGAGTGTAAAATTTTTTTTTCAACATTGATAATAATCAGAAATGTTTCTTGAGCAGCAAATCAGCATATTAGAATGATTTCTGAAGATCATGTGACACTGAAGACTGGATGCTGAAAATTAGATGCTGAAAATTCAGCTGCGCATCACAGAAATAAATTACAGTTTAACATATACTCACATAGAAAACAGTTATTTTCAGTTGTAATATTATTTCACAATATTACTGTTTTTACTGCTTTATTTTAATTTCTAAGTGAACTATTTCTTGAACAAAAGGCTGCATACAGTGGGAAAGTGATCTTACATGTGGAATGTGTATATTTAGTGTGTATAAACAGGCTCTCTAGGGCCGGGATTGATTTTGCACTGGTTTAAAAGGGCCTGGACTGTACAGAGCCGCTGAGCCTCACGATCATTGATCTTCTGCCGGGAAAAGCCGCTGTCATCAGCTCTATCCTTCCTTGGGTCAGGGCCTCGGGAGGATAGCTGTTGTTCTTTTCGTTCTGATGTGGAGTCTGCCTGATCGATCTAGTCTCATAGCACAACAAAAGAGCAGCTTCCAGCAGCAGAGATCATGTGTTCACACGATCAGTGAATAAACCTCCATCCTCATCCCTTTATTCATGTCAGGGAGTAATGAGGCACCTTGTGACATTCAAGCTCTGAAACCTAGTGAGCTGCCTCGCTGTATGCTACCTTCATAGGCAACTGTCTTCTAAGAAACATCCGAAGTGACCGAACTGAAATGCTCTACATAGACAGCAACACATGCCACAACATGACGCACTCCGGAGGCTTGACTCACAACTGATACTCAGAATTTAGTTTGGTGAGCTTACATGCTTACAAAGCACCAAAATAGCACATAGTTTTTAAAAAATGTTTGGGGTCATAAAGTTTATTTTGTATTTTTTTATAATGTTTTTGAAAAAAGTCACTTATACGCTCATCAAGTCTGCATTTATTTGATAAAAAATATTAAATATATTACAATTTAAAAGAAGTGTTTTCTATTGTAATATATAGTAAAATGTAATTTATTCCTGTGATGCGCAGCTGTATTTCCAGCATCATTACTCCAGTCTTCAGTGTCACATGATCCTTCAGAAATCATTCTAATATGCTGATTTGCTGCTCAACAAACACTTCTGATTATTGAATTATTGAATATTTTTGTGGGAACTGTGATACATACAACATTGACAAATACAGTAAAAAAGTTCAAAAGAACAGCATTCATTTGAAATTTTGTAACATTACAAATGTCTTTACTGTCACTTATTCAAATGCATCCTTGCTGTATAAAAGTTTTTTTTTATTTATTTTTTTTATAATTTTTGATGCTTCATAGGGTTCTTTGATGAATAGAAAGTTCAAAAGAACAGCATTTACTTGAAATGGAAATCCTTTGTAACATTATAAATGCTTTTATTGTCACTTTTGATCAAGTTAATGCATCCTTGGTTAATTAAAGTATTAACTTTTTACGTTTGAACTTTAGTGTATATTTGAAGGAAACTGATATCTAACATTGTGCTGAATGAAGTTAAGCCATGTTATTCTGTTGACAGGTCACAGGTCCCTTCACAGACGCCTTCCTGTTTAATGCGGCCATCTCTCGGCTCATGGGCCTGACCAACACACTCTCAGTAAGTCATCAACAATCATCAAGAATAATGTGCTTGGAAATCCAAATGATTGATTGAGCTTTCTGAACTTTTTATTGTGTTTTCTGCTCTCTTACCGTAGCAGCCTCGTCTCGGGTGGTTCTGCACAGCGTGGAGTTTGGCATCGCTCTGTGTGATCACCCATGTGTCCACACTTAGCTTCTGAACTCTGGGCAGGTATGACACACACACACGTCCACCTCAGTATGTCCAAATATGAAAATACTGTCATCATTTACTCCTCATGTTCCCAAAGCTGTTATTTGAAGGTAACGGTGGATGGACACTATAAAGCTAGAAAAACGAAAGTGTCTTGTGTGCTAAAACCTCTAGAAGAACCATTTTTGGTTCCACAAAGAACCATTCAATCAAAGGTTCTTTAAAGAACCATCTCTTTCTTAATCTGAAGAAACTTCTTTCGCCACAAAGAACATTTTGTGAAACAGAAAAGTTCTTCAGATGTTAAAGGTTCTTTATGGAACCATTTAGACAAAAAAGGTTCTTCTATGGCATCGTGAAGCACCTTTATTTTTAAGAGTGTAGCTGAAATTGAAGTTGTTATTCACTGAAAAGCTTCCTCTTCACAATTGCTCTGAAATCTTATTCTCGTTTGCATTTATTCAAATACAGTACATGAGGCCGTTCCTGCCAAGTTTGCATTAAACTGATAGGATGCATATATAGTTAATAAGGACTTCTATACTGGACCGGTTTCATGGTGTTTTTGGAACATTAAAAGAAGCAGGTCAGATGGGTGGATGCTAACCTTCAGGGAAACATGTCCATTTAGCAGCTTATCTAATCCTGAAAAAGTCCGTTACACCCTAACATATGCAAGCATGAAGCTTTGCACGTATCACACATACTGTACACAAGCCCCCCTCACTGTTCCCTGTGCTGTCATTTACTCCACACTGCAGCTATTGTTCATGTTCCTGGTGAATATCTGCGCTGTGAATTGATAAGAATACTTGTATTTGTATTTGACCCTGTGACGGGTCCATGAGCAGTGTTGGGGGTAAATCATTGCTAGTAACGCGAGTTACATAATCAGATGACTTTTTCCAAGTACATAGTAAAGTAAACAAAATATCTGAGTTACTTTTTAAATTAAGTAATGCAGGTTACTTTGACATCTCTTCTGTAATGTGTTGAGAGAAATCGAGAGTGAGGTGCAGAGGCTGAGAAACTTCCTTCAGCCCGAGGCCTATTCATTTCACTTTTGGTGTGAAAGAAACTTTACAGTAGGGATGAGCGATATGGGCTTAAAAATATATCACAATATTTCTGGTATTTATTGCGATAACGATATCAATGACGATAATTCAGGGAATCCTGTTTCTTTAGAGAAAAGTATTATCTTTCCTATTTTTACCCCAAATAGGGTGTTGTGAGTAGTAAAATGCATTCAAAATTCGGAATAATTTGTAATATATAATTATTCACGGTATTTAGAAGTGCCCACGATAACAATATCGTGCATATTCATTACCGTGATATATCGCATTACCGAATACCAGCACAAGTCTAGTTGTGAGCATTAACGAGTACACACGTAATGTAAAGACCGTTTAATTCATACTGGAAGCCGGAGGGCGCTCTTGCACAGAAACTCCACATATGCATAGCAGAAGTAATACTACTGACGACGCTCCAGGAAGGTGTGTCAGTTATCGCTGAATAAAACGCACAAAGGAGATAGCGACATTTTAACTGATGAAACTTGAGGAAAATAAACATACGATTGCACAAAATATATGGTTTATCTGTGTTCTTCCATCTTGGGTATTTTTATAAGGAAAGTATATTTATAATGCAATGTTAATCGACATGGCCTCCTCCTCAATTTTACGTCCGCCTTCCGCGATGTCGCTCCGCACCGTCGCACACAGAAATATGTCAACAACTAGACTTTATTGTTATTATCGCGGGAAGACTAATTCTTATTGTGGGGAGAATTTTTACCGCTATATCGCAAATGATAAGATATCGCCCATCCCTACATTACAGCTGCCAAAAATATAACTTTTGGGTTTTTTGCTATTAAAAAACAAATAAGCAAGCCCAGCCCAGGTGATGCAAAAGTAACTTAATGCATTACTTTCCATAAAGAATAACTAAGTAACACAATTAGTTACTTTATGTAGTAACATAATATTATAATGCATTACTTTTACTTTCCCCAACACTGTCCATGATACACTGATGGTGTTTTTTGGGATTGAATGAGTACCATATTCATGTACCACAACATGTATTGATTTCGATGGCAGTGCCATTTACGAATTGGTTTCCTTTTAGTTGAATTTGTATAGTTTTATAGTTGGTCCTGCCTCACAGGAAGATGAATTGTATGTATTGAATTACAATTCAATGAAATTCAACACAGACAACAAAAATATTTGTATATTTTAAAAATGTATTTAATCTTGAATATCGGTGTTGGGGAATGTTACTTTTGGAAAGTAATGCATTACAATATTGCATTACTCTATAAAAAAAGTTACATTACTTTTACTGTTACTTTTATGGAAAGTAATGCATTGCAATACTTTCGCATTACTTTTTGTCACCTGGGCTGGGCTTACTTATTTGTTTTCTTAATAACAAAAAACCCAAAAGTTATATTTTTGGCAGCTGTAAAGGCTAACAACATGGGGAAATGATAGCTGTCAGTCAATAAGTGAGGAAACAAAGTAACATAACTAATTACTAATAACTCAGATATTTTGTTGTAAATTAAAAAGTAATGTGTTACGTTACTAGTTACTTAAAAAAAGTAATTCTGATTACATAACTTGTGTTACTTGTAATGTGTTACCTTCAACACTGATGAAAATTTCTTCTCTGATTTATAGAATGCATTTTTCACAGAAGATTAGACATATTTCGTTAAATGTCACAAAAATTATTTCTGGAAATACCCCATGTGTGTTTTGTGTATGATAACATTTATGGGTGATTTGTTAATTCAGCATTAATTTTGCATCATCAAAACACATTCAGTTCAAGAATAATTATTAATTGGGCATTCCCAGTTCAACTCTGAATAGTGTGGATTGGTACATTCTGATGACAATACAAAATTGCTAGTACGATGCTATTAGAAAAAAAAAGTGACTGAGGATGAAAGTGAATAATTGTGAGCTGGGAGAAAAGTCGTGGAAATACTAGTGGTGAAGGGGAAAAAAGGAAACTCTTGGCCCCTGTTGTCCGTTCCATCACATCCTGCTATTGTCACACACACACACACACACACACTGTGTGTTTGTCCCGTAAGGAAAAATGAACATGCCCACATGCTCTGATAACACTGACTGATGCTGACCAGAAGATGTGTAACTATGTGACCAAACGTTGCTTGTTAAGGATATGTTTGTGTGTGTGTGTGTGTGTGTGTTCTCATGGATTTAGAGGACCTTAATGTTCCACAGAAACAATATAACAGCATGGAGCAACATGAGGATAGTAAATAATGTCAGAACTCATCTCATTTTTGGGTGAACTATTCCTTCTTGTCCCACTTCCTCCTGTACTTATGCACACACGCTAAGGACAAGCGGAAGTGTACATCCTTCCTGAAGGCCATGCTGAGGTCAGACACAGGTTTCTAAATTCGGACGCCTGTTTATGTGCTGGATCATTCTCTGCCTTGTTACAAAACAGTTATTGCTTTTGCTGTCCAGTTTGGTGACATTAGTGGATCTTTAACTCTATAAAGCATACTTTATCATATTTTTAAAGCCTGTAAATGAACAAAACTTTGCTGTAAACAAATCTACTACGTCTTCTGTCATTTGATTGAGGCCTTTTAGCAAAATTGTGCAAATATCCACCTTCAGAATGTGCTTCCCGTGTCTTTTTGCTGTTATATCTTTACTGAATTGTATCAAATAAACATAACTTTTATATTGTTTGTAATATTTCAAGATGAACACATACTGGGCTGAAGCAACTTTTAGCTTTACTTGATTATCCATGCATAGGTTTTAGGAAAAATCATGTTCAAATGTGAGTCTCAAATATGATCATCAGGCTTTTGAGGAATGTGTATTTGTTCATCTCTCAATCATCATTGTATTGCATTGCATTATATGTTTTGATCATTAAAACAAAGCATTTAAATATCACTAAGACATTATTGGGAGATATAGAGTCATAACTGGTATTTATATCATTATGTACTATGTCTGCTATACTGTTTTAAAGATTTCATTGATTTACATTACAAGCTATCAGAATTTCATCTTTTTTGGCTAAATAAATACCTGCAAGTGCTCAAAAATTGCATATTTTTGCTCATTATAAATAATGAATAATGTAATAATAAATAATAATAAATCCTCAATGTATGAGCTCTGTATTCTTACTATATATGAGCCAAAAAAGCCTGATGATGATTAATTTGATTAAGTATTAATAGATTATTGGTGTTCAGACTATGTGACAGTTTCCTGAAACCTCTCTCAGGTTTGTCTCAGGTGAGGAATCCTCTAGGAAGTGTGCTGTCGGGGAAGGGAAGTGTGCTTCAGCAGCCATGGCCTAGTGTGGATCCAGAGTACCTACAAACACCTGACACACTGCAGCTGTCCATACGGGTATGTCACACACACACACACACACACACACACACTGAAAACACCCCAAATACATTTTATTTACAGCATTATTTTGAAGAATGTTGCCTTTGAGGAAATTAAATCCACAGCTGATGTTGGACAAAAACTAAAGTGATAGTTCCCCCAGAAATTAAAATTTGCTGTTAATGCGCTCGGCCTCAAGCCCTTCAAGACATAGGTTACTTTTTTCCTTAAAGATTTTTTTTTTTGCTGAAATTGTGATCCTGGATGATTCATAAAATGCAATGGCTACCACCACTTTAAGAGTAAAAAAAAGCATCACAGGCAACACAAATTAATACCCATCTCTCCTGATGATATATTGAGGTCTTATGAAGTGAAACAATCAGTCTGTGCAAGAAACTGAACATTATTTACAACATTACTACCTGTAATCCAGAGCCTCAGACAAACAGAGAAATGTGATTCTTTTCCAGAAACTGGTTGTTTTGGACCGTTTGTTTCAATGAACTGATTCAAATAACAGATTCACCAGTTATGTAATCATACAATTACATCATGTATACACAATCATATAAAACACCCTATAATGACATGAAATGTGGATGTTGTACACGTCTCATGTAAAACATCCACATAAATAATGTTCAGTTTCTTGCACAGACTGATTGTTCCGCTTCATAAGACCTCAATATATCATCAGGAGCGATTAATTTTGTGTTGCATGATATGCTTTTTGACTCTCAAAGTGACAGCAGGCATTGACTTGCATTGTATGAATCACCAAGGAACACCGTTTCAGCTAAAAATCTATTTTAGAATTCTACTGAAGAAAAAAAGTCACCTTGGATGACCTGAGGGTGAGTAAATGAACAGGAAATTTCTGGGTGAACTATACCTTTAATTTCATTTGTTCCCTGGGACAATGTGAGCGGTGCTTGTTTGCAAAAAAATCACTTCCACAAGTCTAGGCTGTTCTGTGTACTTTACATCTTTACTAAATACTTAGTGTTAGGAGTTGATCTAAATGACTATAGCCTTAAGCATGATCAGTTATTATAGTGATGCAGGATTTAGCAAACACAACCTTCTCTCAAACGAATCGGTATCTCAGTATTTTTGCGGTATTTTCTTGTCATCGGGATGTTTGTATGCAGAATATTCGGTACAGGATGTTCTCTGGGAAAGTGGCAAAGGGAAAGTGTTTACCTCCAATTTAAAAGCCTGTATTTCAGTACAGTCTGTCTGTAATTTGTGCATGTGTGTGAAGGGATTGGCCTCTGAATTTGACGTGACGAGTGAACGATTATTACAGACTTGAACCATCTGGGGCTAAAATCTTCTTTGCATGACTGTCTTTTGAGGACTTGGGCAAATGTGTGTCTCTACTTGCCCTCATGCATCTGTCATTGGTATAAATTAGTACATTTATGCTACCTTCTAATGTCTCGTTTTGTCCAAAATCCAAGACAGCATCACTTGCAGAATTGCATTCTTAATGGAGAAGACAATCCCAGAATCCATTAAAAAAAAGATGACGGATGGGAAATGGTTAGTAAAGTATAGATAAAATGAGTTCATTTTTTGAATGTCTGTGTACTAAAAAATTCTTGAGCTTATATTGTATGGAGCACATAAAAGTATTGTGTTGTTAGCTATTGAAGCCGTTTACAGCATGAATTCTGAGTTTGCATCTCACAATTCTTACTTTTCTCAGTGTTCCGAGTTTAAATCTCATACAGTTTTGAGGTAACATCTCACAATTCTGAGTTCTCAGTTCTAATAAATTCTGAATCACGTAATTCAAAACTAATTAGGTTTGAGTTTTTTGGGATATTTTTTGGAATATTAACCATGAATGTGTGCTTTTTGTCCATGTGAACAAATTGTGAGAAAAAAGTCGGAATTGCAAGACGTAAACTGAGAGTTCCAAGAAAACAAACGTCTGAATTATGATAAACCTGCAATTTTGAGAAAAATTTCATAATTGCAAGATTTAACTCGAAAAAAGAGAGTCAGAATTGTGAGAAAGTCAGAATAGTGGAATAAAATGTCAAGCAGATCCATAGGAGCTTTCATGTCTTTGCTCTATTGCTATAGCTTGACTCCATTGTTATATGTGACCCTGGACCACAAAACTAGTCTTAAGTGTCAATTTGTCAAAATTGAGATTTATACATCATCTGAAAGCTGAATAAATAAGCTTTCCATTGATGTATGGTTTGTTAGGATCGGACAATATTTGGCCGAGATACAACTATTTGAAAATCTGGAATCTGAGGGTGCAAAAAAATCAAAATATTGAGAAAATCATCTTTAAAGTTGTCCAAATGAAGTTCTTAGCAATGCATATTACTAATCAAAAATATGTTTTGATATATTTACGGTAAGAAATTTACAAAATATCTTCATGGAACATGATCTTTACTTAATATCCTAATGATTTTTGGCATAAAAGAAAAATGGATAATTTTGACCCATACAATGTATTGTTGGCTATTGCTACAAATATACCCCAGCGACTTAAGACTGCATTCGTGCTCCAGGGTCACATATGTTCTCATTGGCTGGTTCTGCATTCAGACGATTTTATGAATTTTCTTTTCACCATTTCTGAAATCTGAACCAAGCAGAACAATGTGTAACAATCTACTGTTGCCAGATATTCACCTGAATGCAGTTGATGTCAAACTAGCTCAACTACTGTAAATCAAATTAAGAAAAAGAAAAATGTTAAATTTTCATGTTTTTTGTATTCACCCACTTTTTTTGACACACACAGTACACATCTGGCAACATGAGATAAAGACGTAGCTACCATAACAGTTACAAAGATGAATAAAATCAGGAAATTAATCTCCAAATGGAGATGTTACTTCATACTCGGTTGAAATAGTACAACCCAGAAGGCTTTGCTGCGCCCGCTCTCTGCCAGGCCTCAGGCTGGCACCAGCCTGCTAGTATTTTAGGGAATCCCCTGCTTTGTGCGGGTGGCTGAACTACTTTGGGAGTCATAATAACAGGGATGATTTTCTCCCATGATGCAGTCCAGCTGTCTGGGTGCGTTTCATTTCACCACAGACACACTGAGGAGCAGATGCATCAGAAGACCAGCTTTAGTTTCACACAAACCCACACACAGCAGATGCAGAAGCAAGGTATCCACCCTTAAAGGTTTTGTTTAGTCATCCCAGGATATGGCATAAGCACTTTAACACAGTTTTAAAAACTAAAACTACTGCTGATCAAGAGGAAAACCATTTTACCCAGTAAAATTTTAAACCAGGCAGGAATAAAGCATATTGATTTCTGAAAGCACTTTTCTCAACTTTCAGTTGCAGTGACAGGGTGTCACTTTTGCAAAGCCTTGAGAGTTTAGAAAATAGATTGAGCCTAGATTTTGGTGAAAAAAAATGTTTTGTGTCAGTTTTTTTTTTTTTTAATAAAAAATAAGCAAGCAAAAAAACATCTGGAGACCACAATACAGACATTGAGTTGATGGTGCACATGTAAAATTGTTTTTTTCTTTCAATTTATCTATACTTTTTTATTTATATATATCTAAAATGTGTTTCATACACAACATGCTGCTGTGAGCATGCTGCTGCTGCTGCTGCTGCACATATAACATACATGAATAACCCCCCACAAAGCAGGAGACACAGAAATGAACAATACAAGCCAATATGTGCTTGTTGCTGAGTATAAGGATATAACTGCATCAGCACACATACATGTGCCCACCCACACACATGAAGATTAACAGACAGGAACAGAACAAGACATCCCCCACAAAGTAGATCTATCGACAAGACAAATGTACTGCTGCTGCTCCGAAGAGCCATGTGAACCGCATGTATTACTATCTATGTGCACCTGGGCTACCACGCCGACCGGCTTAACTCTAATCGGACTCTAAACTCTAATCTCAAATTTTCTTTCAATGGTTTTTGGATTGTCTTCTCCATGAAAAGCTCTTTGAAAGTTGGGCCAGTAAGAAAACAACTCTCAACTTCCCACAACATGAGTTTTATCTGACGGACAATCAAATGGGCAAAAAAAAAAAAAAAAATATCCCTAGACTTACTGTGAAGAACTCGAATCTAGAGAACAAACAGGTTCCATAAAATGTCAAAATTTAGTTTGTCATTGTTTTGCATCAGTCAGACTTTTGCCTGTTTTTGGTTCAAAATAACAAAATGTAAAACCACTTGTTTAATTGATTATCTTCAGTTTCTAACCTTTCAGATGTCATCAGTGTTCTCTCTTTTTTTGTCCTCAGATCAATAATAAGGCGTGTGGGAGTGTATCTGTACCTCGTGAAGTGGCTCAGGACGCACAGAAGGTTCAGGAACTGGTGCTGAACAGCCCTCTGGGTGTCCGTCTGCTCTCTGAGACAATCTACTGTTGCCAGATATTCACCTGAATGCAGTTGATGTCAAACTAGCTCAACTACTGTAAATCAAATTAAGAAAAAGAAAAATGTTAAATTTTCATGTTTTTTGTATTCACCCACTTTTTTTGACACACACAGTACACATCTGGCAACATGAGATAAAGACGTAGCTACCATAACAGTTACAAAGATGAATAAAATCAGGAAATTAATCTCCAAATGGAGATGTTACTTCATACTCGGTTGAAATAGTACAACCCAGAAGGCTTTGCTGCGCCCGCTCTCTGCCAGGCCTCAGGCTGGCACCAGCCTGCTAGTATTTTAGGGAATCCCCTGCTTTGTGCGGGTGGCTGAACTACTTTGGGAGTCATAATAACAGGGATGATTTTCTCCCATGATGCAGTCCAGCTGTCTGGGTGCGTTTCATTTCACCACAGACACACTGAGGAGCAGATGCATCAGAAGACCAGCTTTAGTTTCACACAAACCCACACACAGCAGATGCAGAAGGAAGGTATCCACCCTTAAAGGTTTTGTTTAGTCATCCCAGGATATGGCATAAGCACTTTAACACACAGTTTTAAAAACTAAAACTACTGCTGATCAAGAGGAAAACCATTTTACCCAGTAAAATTTTAAACCAGGCAGGAATAAAGCATATTGATTTCTGAAAGCACTTTTCTCAACTTTCAGTTGCAGTGACAGGGTGTCACTTTTGCAAAGCCTTGAGAGTTTAGAAAATAGATTGAGCCTAGATTTTGGTGAAAAAAAATGTTTTGTGTCAGTTTTTTTTTTTTTTAATAAAAAATAAGCAAGCAAAAAAACATCTGGAGACCACAATACAGACATTGAGTTCATGGTGCACATGTAAAATTGTTTCTCTAAACTCTAATCTCAAATTTTCTTTCAATGGTTTTTGGATTGTCTTCTCCATGAAAAGCTCTTTGAAAGTTGGGCCAGTAAGAAAACAACTCTCAACTTCCCACAACATGAGTTTTATCTGACGGACAATCAAATGGGCAAAAAAAAAAAAAAAATCCCTAGACTTACTGTGAAGAACTCGAATCTAGAGAACAAACAGGTTCCATAAAATGTCAAAATTTAGTTTGTCATTGTTTTGCATCAGTCAGACTTTTGCCTGTTTTTGGTTCAAAATAACAAAATGTAAAACCACTTGTTTAATTGATTATCTTCAGTTTCTAACCTTTCAGATGTCATCAGTGTTCTCTCTTTTTTTGTCCTCAGATCAATAATAAGGCGTGTGGGAGTGTATCTGTACCTCGTGAAGTGGCTCAGGACGCACAGAAGGTTCAGGAACTGGTGCTGAACAGCCCTCTGGGTGTCCGTCTGCTCTCTGAGCAGGTCATTAAGAAGGCCATCCTCTCGCCCAGAACGGCCCTCATCTACTTCCTGGAGGACGAATGACATGATGTGCCCTACAGGGGTTCTGATTTCAGAAAGAACCGTACGTGAAAAGACTCTGATATCCACAGAGCCACGTCAGGAAAACAGCTGGTTGAGGATTTTTTGAAAAGGAAGCAAAGAAGGACAATGGTGTACTGAGTAATTTTTTTCAGTTTTACAAGATGTTCTTTTTGAGTTGAAAATGAAAACGGCTTCGCTCTTTGCTGCTAAATAAAGAGGATTTTAGGCGATTTTCAGTTTATGAGATACATTTTTTGTACCCAGCCCCACCTCTCAGCCCTCGTCACCTCAGACTCCAGGCCGGTCTGGCGGTGTTAGTGTTTTGTAGCGAGCTATTTCTGAACGCCCAGTTTTAGCCTGACATTACAACACCTCTGCTCTGACAGACCTGCACTGCCTGAAATGGAGATGTGGAGGTCATGCTGTGCTTTCAGACAACAGTGGGATTCCTGCTGGGTCTCATAACCAGCGTCTCATCAAACACTCACTTACTGTAGCTGACTCACTGTCCTGTATGGAGTCTTTAGTTTTTTAACATCCTGGCTGTGGTGTTAGAGCACGTACACACTGAAGATCACACAATGTCAAACACTGTCAAGCAAATGATTTCAGTGGGGACGCTGCATCACAAGTACACTGAGAAAAATTTTTTTTAGGGTGAGGTAGAAAACAATAACAATTTACACAAAAACAAAATTTGAGAAATTGTTGATGCAACTCTGTGCATCTACGTATTAACCAATAAGAATCACTTCCAACATACTTATTTACACATATACACATTTCTATGCATCAATGCGCATGCGCTTTTACCAGTTTATGCTTTGATAATAAACAAGCAAGTAAAGTTTGGAGTGGATCTTTGGATAAAGGCATCTGCTAAATGAATAAATGCAAATGCAAAGCAGAAATAAAATGGCATCATAAATAGTGTTTTTCAAGCCATTTCATATAATGCACATGCACATTGAAGTCGCGTCAGATTTTTTTTGCCCAAATTGCGAATTGCATGTGACTGAAGCGGTTTATCAAAAAAAACAAAAAAAAAAGTAGGACATAGACTTGATTCTGTGCATCGGTTGCTGAATGGATGGAGGCAGATCTGAATTTGCTTCTTTGAACTTTCTTTCTTTGTTCTGTGGAACATAAAATAAGATATTTTGAGGAAAGTCTTAGTGTTTTTTGTCTGTATGATGGTCAATGGTGACCAAAACTGGTAACAAAAACAGGGGTGAGTAAATAAATGATAACAGAATTTAAATTTTTTTCATAGTAATTCTAGATAATATGTAAAAACACTGTAAAAATGATTTTTCTGTACATAAAAGAAAGATTATTAGAGTATGTTTCCAAAGAAAATGCATTTCAGTCTTTCTACTTAAAAAAAAAAAAAAACCTAATTCAATGTTACTTGATGTTTCTAAGTATTTGTAAGTATTATTTTCTAGCAATTTCTGAGTGAAGAGTTTCAAAGTAATCTGTTTTTTTTTTAAAGTGTACACAATAGGCATAATTATGGAAGCCCGTTTCTGCCACTAAATGAAAAATAAAACAAGGTAATTGCGACTTTTTATCTCACAATTCTGACTTTTCAGAATTGTGTGACACGCAATTGCGAGTTATAAAGTCAAAACTGTGAGTTATAAAGTCACGCAATTCTGACTTTCTTTTTTTCTCGGAATTGGGAGTTTAGGCTATATCTCGCAATTCTGACTTTATAAATCGCAATTCTGAGAAAAAAAGTCACAGTTGTGAGATACGAACTCGCAATTTTGAGAAAAACAGAAAGTCAGAATTGCGTGATATAGCTAAACTCGCAATTCCGATAAAAAAAAGTCATAATTGCGAGTTTATATCTCGCAATTCTGACTTTATAACTCGCAGTTTTGACTTTATAACTAGCAATTCTGTAAAAAAAAAAAAAGTCGTAATTATGAGATATGAACTCGCAATTGTGAGAAAAAAAGAAAGTCAGAATTTCGAGATATAAACTCGCAATTCTTTCTTTAAAACTCGCAATTTTTACTTTATAACTCGCAATTCTGTAAAAAAAAAAGTGGTAATTATGAGATATGAACTGCAATTGTGAGAAAAAAAGAAAATCAGAATTTCGAGATATAAACTCGCAATTGCGAGATATAAACTCGCAATTCTTTCTTTAAAACTCGCAATTTTTACTTTATAACTCGCAATTGCGTGTTATAAAGTCAAATATAAGGTATTGCAAGATATTAACTCACAATTCTGAGAAAAAAAGTCAGAATTGTGAGGTAAAAAGTCGCAATTACCTTGTTTTATTTTTTATTCAGTGGCGGAAATGGGCTTCCATACATAATAGATATGATCAAAAATGTATGTTCAAATTAATCTATAGCAATAAAATGGAATCATAAATTTTGGGTGAACTATCCTTTTAATTTTAAGTTAATGAGCCTGACATCTGAAACCATATTTCCATTTTTAGTGAATTGTCAGGACACCTCATGTGAAACCATAGAACAATTATCTGAAGGTAACGAATAGCTCCCTCTTTTATAAGATTACTGTTAGACCGCTTTAGGAATGCCCATCATTCCCTTTGGAAATGAGAACGGAGAGACTTGAGTCATCACATTTCAACACCAGAGTAATTTGGCCCCATTTTCTCAGTCTCTGCAGCCCAACCCAATGACACAACAGCACACTGACACCGCGCTCGGGTTAGCGCCTCGCTGAATGGGTTTGGACTGTGTTGCTTTATGTGTTGAGTGTCTGACCTTCTCCAAATGCATCAGAGAATATGTTTCTCAGTACTTGAGTGAACAATAAGTTGGGAATGGGCATAAAGGAAGCCTTTCATGTCAAATGAAGTGTTATGCCTTTAGGGTATTGATGTCCTGGGACAGTCGCTGACAGTACCTCTGTTGTTTGGAAACATTTTTTGCCCTGTTACTCAGTAACCACACATAATTCAGTCTGAAATCGATCCCCTCTGCTGTCCCTTATGGCCTTATATAAGTGACTCACTAATAAAACACTGTAGAATAATTTCCCAGAAGTCCCACATTCCTCAAATGTGCTGACTTTAAAAAGAGGAAGGGATTTGTTTTTTGTCCCAGATGACTTGATATTTTTAGAGTATTCATTTCCTGTGTGTTGTGTCTTTTCGTATTGTGTTACTGCATTCACATTAGTGGTCTGTTATATTCTTCTAGTTTCATTTATTAGTTGTGTTTGCTAAAGCAAGCAGCACTATTACTATTTTGAATACTTAAGGTTAAAGAGATAGTACACCCAAAAATGAAAATGCTGTCATTTACTCACCCTCATGTCATTCCAAACCTGTAAGACTTTCTTTGTTCTGTGGAAATATGAAACAAGATATTTTGAGAAACGTCTCACAATGGAAGTCAGTGGTAACCAAAAAGTTCGGTTACCAAGAATCTGAACAAATCCTTATACCTAAGTATTCAACTTTGGCACAACTCTTCGTACAGTTTCTTCAAATCGTGTAACTTGTTAAAGGGAGGTGTGTTATTATTTTTCTAAAGAACCAGATGATTGATTATTACTTGGCAAGCGATAAAACAGGCAAACCAAAATCACCCAAAGTGGAGGAGTCCTAAGAACATGTACTATTGACAATCAGGGATTCAAAATCTAACTTAAACTCATAAATAACACCTTTAAGCACATACTTTTATGTAAAATATGTAAAATATTTAACATTCTGCAGTATTTGTAAGCTATTAAATAATAAAGTATTATAACTGATCATGCAAATTTTCTTTGATTGAAGCACAAAATATTTTTTGCCTGATGGAAAACATGATAATCAGGAAATTCTAAACTTCATATAGATTTTTAAAATCAACTTTTCACTCAAATTTATACTGATACCATAACAGCTCTCAGACTGTTAGAGCCAACTGTTTGTCAATTCTGGTCTACAATAATGCATAACCATTGTCAGCAGCTCTACAGTGGCCCCAAAAAGTATTTGGACACATTTGTTGACACTTACGAATGTCTGAATTTTGTTGCAGATACAAAATATCTAACTAAGTGGAATTTTGTTTCAAGAAAGATAGCAAGGGAACACTGTTCAAGAAAAAACTTTTCTCAAAAAGCTGGGTTCATAAAACAAGTCTCAAAGTGAAGAGAGGTGTGAAACATTGGAACACATTCATATGTGACAAACAACACCCGTGTAAACATGACGGTAACTGATTAAAAATCACTGTCACAGCAGTTAATGAAAAGTCATAAAATGAAGAAGTAGTTTTAACCTTGTGCGGTCTTCGGTCACACACACACATACACACACATACACACACACACACACACACACCTATGAACTGGTGTGACTGTAACACTGCAAATATGTAAAATAAAATCAATAATTCAACTACAATGCAGTAAAAAAGTGGCGCCCCCACACCTTGATGCTCATGACAGGAATAGCATGTATAGTTATCTTTATTGAAGTTAATTAGGTTTAAATCGCCGTCATGCATGGATGAATGATATTTTTGCAATTTTACACATAATAATCCACGATGATCACATTACACAAAACTGAAATTGCACGTCAAAATAACACATTGTCAATATTTTTTGAGACCCCCCAAAATTTCACAAATCACGTTTTCAGGGGAGCCCATGTCTTATTAAGGGGAGCCGAGCTCCCCCTAGCTCCCCCGTAGTTCGCACCCTGCCTGCAAGGCTGATCAGCATGGCGCTGTGATCTTCACGTTAACCACCAAACACGTGTATGATGTGTGTATATAATAGTTTTACATTGTGACGCATTTGAATATTATGCATCGAGTTATGCTTTGAAAGATTTGAAAGCTATAAAGAGGAAAGATTGTCAGTGAATAACTTACATTTTGGTTTGTTCATCACAGAGATGAATGACTTCAAGTATTGCAATATAGCTATAGTGCATGTACTTTTATGAGCCAGGTCTCATGAAAATGCGTATAAATAGTACGCCAAATAAAAACGAAAACTCGTGGTATTGATACGCAAAAATGGACTTTGGCGTGCATATGATACGCATGTGTTTGGCGTGCATATAATACGCAGTTTTCGCGTGCATATGATACGAAATTTGTTGGCGTGCATATGATACGCAGTTTTCGCGTATCCATCGCGTAGCATATACACGCCAAAGTCCATTTTTGCGTATCAATACCACGAGTTTTGGTTTTTATTTGGGGTACTATTTATACGCACTTCCATGAGATCGGGTTGACTTTTATGGTGCTTTTTGAAGCATTGAAAAATTATGAAACATGAATTTTAGGGACTAAACAGTAAATTCACTAATTAAATGAAAACCTTTCATCTAGCCTATGCATTTTTTTTTATCTATCCATTCATTCATAGCCTAAATGATCAGGCTGAATCAGGCTCGTTCTTTTATGATAACACTGGAGTTTTGCTCCAGTCCAACAGACCAAGCTGACTCCTCAAGTAACCTTCTCAAATTAAACGTTAGATGTAAAATTCACTATAATATATAAAATGAAATGCTGGATTATTTCCACATGTCTAGTGGTGAGCAAATTCTCTTCAGTGTAGCCTAGGCTACTTTAATCATGTGAAGTTACAACGCAACCACACGACAGCAGAGAGTCTTTACACGTCTCTTTCAAGCACAAGCTCTCTAAACCCCCAAAAGACTGATCTTGGTTATTTAGTTTAGGGATCCGTGTGAATAACCTGCACACGGACACTGTTTTCCTCTTGGCGCGCTCGTGAACTGCACAGCTGGTCTCGCGCTCTCGCGCGTCTTCATTCACAGCGGGACTCGGCGGGAGTCGCTCAGTTTCTCTCAGTGAGCAGAAGAGTTCACTAAAGGAGCCGTTTAAACTCGCTGTCGTCCACTCTGGAGTAGACTTCGTTAGATGTTAGAGTTTAGGTCGAGTTTCAGTCGATTTAAACGGAGAGCTGCCTCCGAAAGTTACAAGAGCAGTTCTGCTGGTGTACGTTTCTTTTCACTCAGCTGTTAGTTCGTTTCATAGTAGATTTTCCTTCTCTTTGTCGCTGTCTACAGTTAGTTTTATTTACAGGTTGAGAAAATGCCGAGAGGTTTTTCGTCGAAACAGCTTTCCCGTCACGCTTGGCCACTTATTTTCGCGGGTCGGCTATTTTAGTCTGTGTCGTGTGATGTTTGCTGTGTGGAAACCTAACTCTTGACTTGGCTTTTGCAGTTTTGACTGATCTTACTGGTGGCTTTTCACAGGTGAATAAGTTTGGACAGCTGTTCCCCATCAATTTCCCATCTTCAATGGTTTGTCTAAATTTACCGCTGGAGATCCTCCGCTGACAGAAGTCGTTAAAAACTTTCTTTCTGAGTGTTTCAGTTCGTGTTTCCAGTTGCAAACATGGATAAATACGACGATTTGGGACTTGAGGCGAGTAAATTCATCGAGGACTTGAACATGTATGAAGCATCGAAGGACGGCTTATTTCGCGTGAAGAGAGATGCGGGAAACAACCCGGATTTTGAAGAAACCAGAAAAGTTTTTGCCTCAAAGATGACTAAAATACACATACAGAAGCAGCAAGAGGAGATGGCAAGAAACAGTTTGGCAGCAAGGATCAATGGAAGTCATTCAAAAGTGTCCAATAACACATTTTACACCAAAGACAGACCACCCATCAATAGTTGTAGACAGGGTGGTGAAGCAGCAGCCAAACCACCCATCATGTCTGGACCAATGGTTGGCACTGCCAGTGTGACTCCATACATATCTTATGAAGGACAAAAGCATCATTCGGCCAGCTTACCTGATGGATCCAGCAACAGGGCTTATGACATTAAGGAGACTGGTAATGCTGTTAACCCAATACCAGTGCCAGCCCGATCAGCACCCTCTACCAGCCCCCCTGGCACATGGGCATCAAGAAGCGGTTACCCGTCTCAGGCGCCATCGTCTCCTTTCTCAAACAGTTCCTCCTCTTCTAGCTCACCTGGAGCGGGTCAGAATTATTCTCCAGTGTCTCAGGGATTCCCTCAAACAGGGAAGTCTCCCTCTCAGTCGCCCACAGGAACATACAGGGATGCATATCACCAGCCTCAACAGGTTAGCCTTGGTCAGCACTGCCAACCAAACTCTGCCCAGTGGCCTGCCAGTGGACTGACATATCAAAACGGGGGAGCTCATAATATTGGTACCCCCTCCCCTACCCAGGTGACCCAACCTCCATTGTCCCATGGAGGGAAGCAAGGTGAGCCATCCCAACCCAAGAGCTCTGCACCCGGTAACCCGACAGTGCCCGCTTTTACCCATGTTGAGTCGCCCCATGATGAGTCTTCCAGCCATTCTCGGGCGCTCAAGCTGCCATGCCAGACCCTCCATGTACAGACAGATCAGGGGCCATCTGCGGCTGAAATAAAATTAGAAGCTCTAACTGAACGCCTGGAAAAGGAGATGGACGCCCAGCCAAAGGCTGAGTACTTTGGTAAGCACAACGTGATCACTGCCAGTTTTGTGTTTTTATATTTATCTTTTTTACATCTGCAATTGTGTTTAGCAGCTTGCTGATTGAAAAACCCTCTGCCTGTTTCCACTTGACCTTCACTCTATATGTGTGTGGTTCTTGCCACAATGTTGTACATTCAATTGTATGTGAGTGTGCGAAATAACGATGTAGCCTAGATCCCTGTTACCAGTGCTTTTCCAGGCTTTTTCCTTTCCAGAAGCTATTCCTGGACCTGCTTTTTTCTAATCTGTTGTTAATTTCTTTTATTTCATTACATTTCAGTTATCAAAGGCAGACTTTGCTGTTATTTTTTATTTTTTTTATTGAGCTAGACTGTGATCTGTGGGAGTATGTTCAAGCTAATGGATATTTCTCACACTAAGGAAAGTTTCCTCCCTGTCGCATGGTGCCCGCTGAGTATGAAACTTCCCTAAACCAACATTGCCATCTCATTATCATTCACTCTGTGGGCAGTGGACCTGCAAAACTAATCTATATTCATTCACTTTTGTCTCTACACAAGACCTACCAATTGTCTCTGGCAGACGATATTACAAACAAACACTCAAGGTATTTTATTATCTTTCATGCTCAGTGTTGAATTTAGTTTCAGTTTACTTGTTTGGTTACAAGTTTATTGACCTAAGACTAAATGGATTTATGGTTAAAGTGCAGGTATATACTTATGGAGCTCAGAAAGATGGCATATTTAAAGAGGTAGTTCACCCCAAAATTAATATTCTGTCCTTTACTCAACCTCATGTCTTTACTGTATGAGTTTCTTTCTTCTGTGGAACAAAAAAAAAAGAAATCTTTTGGAAGTCAATGGGATCAAAAGTTGTTTAGTTTCCAATATTCTTCAAAATATTTTCTTTTGTATTTCACAGAAGAAAGTAAGTCTTAGAGGTTTGGAATGACGTGAGAGTGAGTAAATCATGACAGAATTTTCTTTTGTGTGTGAACTATCCCTTTACCATGATGCAAAAAGAGTGAATTTCAGCCAGTGTCTTTATAGTTTTGTGTTGGTCAATTTTCACAGTTTTTTGTCCTCAAAGTTTTTTTTTTTCCCTTTGGAAAGCCATATTTTCATATTTTGTCTGAACAAGACAAGGTACTCAACACCATAGGTACTCAAGTACAACCCATCCAATGGTCTGTACTGTGATTATTCACAGCCTCTGCTTCAAATTAAATATGCCATCTATCCTGAGTGAGGTCCATAAACAAGTGTAACACCGTGAAGCCTAAGTAGACTTCTAAAATGCGTAAAGAAAACATGGGTGGTCTCTGTGTGAGAGTCACCACATGACAAAAGGTCACGTAAGAAGGAGCCGAATATCATTTGGAACCTATTAATGAGCCTATGTTCCTAAACTTGTTCAGTATGCCAGCTTTAATGGCTAACAGAAGAAGCTGACAAGTGTTGACATCTGATGTGCTTGTCTTCACAGTTTCCTCTGTGTTCTTGAAAGTGTAGTCTATGATGGTGCATTGAGCAAAGTTTTATTGTTTTCCTTGTCTTAATATTCATACTTGAATATAGTAGAAGGGTGAAAAAAATATCAAAGGGAATCAGTTCACCCATAACTGAATGGATTATAGGTTTTACTGCCATATGGATAAAGTGCATTGAGATATCAGTGCAGAATAGTTCTCAGATATAAAGCGTGATGGTCTAGCAGTCCCTAGTTGCACTTGCTGTTTCCATTGTGCTCTTGTAAATCATTCAGTCTTGCTAAAGGAATTTCCTGCTGGAAAAGCATATAGAGCCATCGTAGAGTGTGTGAACTGTACTTTGGCTTGAGAGTCACCACATGACAAAAGGTCACGTAAGAAGGAGCCGAATATCATTTGGAACCTATTAATGAGCCTATGTTCCTAAACTTGTTCAGTATGCCAGCTTTAATGGCTAACAGAAGAAGCTGACAAGTGTTGACATCTGATGTGCTTGTCTTCACAGTTTCCTCTGTGTTCTTGAAAGTGTAGTCTATGATGGTGCATTGAGCAAAGTTTTATTGTTTTCCTTGTCTTAATATTCATACTTGAATATAGTAGAAGGGTGAAAAAAATATCAAAGGGAATCAGTTCACCCATAACTGAATGGATTATAGGTTTTACTGCCATATGGATAAAGTGCATTGAGATATCAGTGCAGAATAGTTCTCAGATATAAAGCGTGATGGTCTAGCAGTCCCTAGTTGCACTTGCTGTTTCCATTGTGCTCTTGTAAATCATTCAGTCTTGCTAAAGGAATTTCCTGCTGGAAAAGCATATAGAGCCATCGTAGAGTGTGTGAACTGTACTTTGGCTTGACAGTCACTCTCTCTCTCTGATTCATACTAGAACATAGATTGAGTGACAAATGCTGTCTTTGGCCTTGCATGAACTAAACAAATCAAGGATTTTTCGTATACTGAGGAGTGGGTGAATAAAGTACATTGTTTTCATCGTTAACCCCACGCAGTATTCTATTTTTAAGCCTTGAAAACGTCAATTATTCAGGCCATAACAAGTATCTTTTGGACAATAGTAGGACTGCAAAACGATTAATCATGATTAATCGATTCAAAATAAAAGTTTGTTTACATATGTTTGTGTTCTGTGTATATTTATTATGTATATATAAATACACACATACATGTATATATTAAGGAAAAATGTTAAAATATTTATATTTATATACAATATAAATTATATACAAGTGTTTACATACAAAAACATACAATACATACAAATATTTGTTAAAATATATATATATGTGTGTATTTATATTAGGCGTGGAACGGTTCAACTTACTCACAGTTTGGTTTGTATCACGGTTTCGGTATGTTTCGGTATGTGCTATGTTAAGGCAAAAAATATACTGTCAAATAAAAATAACCATATTACAGATGCGTTGTCAGATTTAAGTTGAACCGCGGTCCTAGCGCGTGCCGAACCGTGTGTGGAGAACCGTATGGTTCGATTTTTTTCTGCGAACCGTTCCACCCCTAATTTATATATACATAATAAATATACACCATACACAAACATATAGTATGTAAACATAAACTTTCATTTGCGATTTTACAGTATATATTCTGGTTATATATATTAATGGGAGTTGTGTAAATACCGCCAAAGGACCCTATTCACAAACTGATGACGGTTCCACACTTATTAACATTGTAAATCTAGCAAATATATTTTATCATATATATATATATATAAATTACTCGCTAACAAAGGTTATTCGTCCAATTCAATGCATATTGTACGCATTATTATTATTATTATTTTTGTTAAATAAACAAAACCACTGGTAAATAAAATGCACCTTAGTATCGATATTTTTTGTTTGAGTATCGATACTTTCGATACTCGCGTCAATATCGATATATCAATACTTCGGATCGATACGCCCATCCCTATTTCTAATACAACAGCTGAGAGTGATGGCAAATTTGACATCTTTCTTCTAACCACTGTAAACTATTTTTTTGCCAAGTCATAGAAATGCTTTGTTTTTGTTTGTTTTTTTGCTATTAGATCAAATGAGAATGCTATAAATGATGTTTGTTGTAGATGCCATTCACTGAAAATGTACCCAACTATGATGACATAAGCTTCTGAAAAACGTATTTAAATTTATTAAAAACTTATCAAATTATTAATCAAATCCATATTAATAATACAGCGTGATTAAAAAATTATCCCTAAATAATATAATATTAGACTTTATACTAGACTGCTGCACGTCTGGTGGTTATTTACCACCATGTAGTGCATTAAAATTGTGCAGTACATAACTAGCTGTGGATTACCCCTAATTTATGTGCTATTGAAAAGTTAATTGATGACCAAACTATTCTGTTTACATTCATCAGGGAAGACCAAGTTTAGGCACTGAAGGATGTTTCGACATCCACCTGTGTCCTGTTGATGCGTTCTGGATGCTGAGTTGGCAGTAAATGGCAGAGTAAGCCATGCGGGTGTTTATAGTCTCAGTCTGACAGCTGCTGCACCGCCGGGATGTTAAGGAATGTCTGCATTTTACAAAGTAGCTAAACGAGGACAAAGAGACGGTAATAAATTACAAGACTCTTTAGTGAAGCCTAATGGCGGTTTTGCCTCTGCTGACATCCAAATGGTTGGCGTCCCCCTTGTCTGGAGTCGGTTATGCTTGGCCTCTCCCTGCTGCTGTGTTTTGTTTTGGAAGAGACAGTGGGTGAGATGTGAGTCTGGGTTGGAGGGCGGGAGGGAGTCCCGCCTTGTGCACACAGACATACCAACAGCAGACATTCATGCTTTGTGCCCTGCGCTCTTTTGATGAAGGATTCCTTAATCTGCCTGTCGACTAGATGGCTTTATCTTAATTGTCGTCTAGGATTCTTGGCTTCCTGTCCCTTAGCTCTCGGGTTCATGTCCTGCTCTCTTGAATGGCTGTATGCTGTTTTCAGGTTCACCGCTATTGACAGCATCTGGAACATGCTCAATTACCACAGAAAATCATTTTGATCTGTCTAACAGTTTGGAAAATCTGCAGCAGCTCATATTTGATCAAATAAGCTTCTATTAATTCTAAGGCTGCAACTAACCTTTTTTTAATTGATTAATCTATTGATTAATTTTCTCTAGTTAGTCTATTAATCTAACATTTCCCCCCTGATAGATCTATTGATTATTTTATGATTTGCCCTGAATAATCCTTTGGTTAACTTACCAATAACCATAACTTCTGGCATTTATCTTTCTACATTTTATTCAAAAAATGTGGCTATGTTATTATAGTGTTGTTTTTTTTAATTCATTTTTATTTTTTGTATTTTCCTTTTTTTCCGTTGTTTGACATTTTAATTACTTATGTTTCTTTAAATACGTCTATGTCATTTTTATTTAATATATTTTTTTTTGTTTTGTCAGTACATTGAGTTAAACTAAAGTTTTTTAATGTTAAGTTAAAATGTATTTTATTTAAAGTAACAAAAATGTTTAGTTTTTTATAGGTTTATTTTTAGTTAACTATAATAACCCTGGGGTGCATTTCCCAAAAGCATTGTTAGTTAACTATGGTGGTAAGTTCCATTGAACTCTATTGGTAACGACGAAACTTGCGAACTTAGTTGCTTTTGGGAAACGCACACCACAAATTTTATGATATCCGTTCTGTTATGCAGTTTTCATGCTTGTAAAAAACAAAATGCTATATAAACGCAACTGTGGGACTTACATCCGTATTCTAATGCTGAGTAAACACAACCTATTTTCTGCTGTGAATAGTGCTGCCGAGTATGATTTACTTCAGTGCCTAGTGCCGAATGTAATCGGAAATGCACTTTATTTATTTGAAAATGTTGCTTACGCCATCTTAGAGCATAACCACAACGTAAATCTACATTGTTTAGTTTCATAAACAAACAGCTTACAACTTGCAAATGCGCTGGAAAGTGGCGTTGCAATGCTAGCCATTAGTATCTGCTCTATGGAGTCTTCGTTGAGATTTTGTGTGAAACATGACATATAAGCAGGCAACAACAACTCATTGGCTCCCAGCTAAAGATTTCCTATAATTTTGATTGTTGGGTTCGAGATTTTTGTGATGAATCACGAATTCCTAGCATGCGATGCATTGACGGAAATCATAATGTCAACATGTCATTCTGACTAGGGCTGGGCATTATAGCCAAAAAATTTATCAACGATATAATGTTTCATATCGTTCGGTATCAAAATATCTCCTTTTGAATTGGACTTTGAGCTTTGTAACTTTGCAGATCTTTTTTATGCTTAAACAGCAACATTACAGACTAACTAAAGTTGAAAAAGTGAAAAAGCATAATAGGACCCCTTTTAAGTTTTAGTAATTTTGTTGTGTTTGACATTTTAATTACTTATGTTTCTTTAAATACGTCTATGTCATTTTACAAAACAGCATCATGTATTTATGCATTGCTTAATCCAAAGAGCCGAAGCGCCATTCGCTCAGATTGCATTTAAAAACATATAAGACGCAGTGAAAAGGAATAAACGTCACAAATTTGTGGAGGTTTCTCCCTGACGCACACCTAACATTCAAATGCAAATGTTTATTTTAAATTCGACTAATATTCATTCTTTATTCTTATTATTTAATCTCCTCATCACAGGCAGGCACAGCACTCAATTCAGCATGTGTTTGTGTGTGCTGTCTGCATCACTCATAGCACGTGCCTATATCGTGCGCTATATCGAATATTTTTTCTATCGTTATCGAAGAAGGCGTACCGTCGATAAATATCGATACCGTTGTATCGCCCAGGCCTAATTCTGACCCTAATTAATTCTTACATACAAAAATATTTTTAAATGTTAAATTGTTTTGAATCCAGACTCAGTTTAAAAGTGCTACAACATGGTGTTTAAATTAATCGCTTCAAACACTTTTTGTAAAGCAGATGTGGGTCTGATTGTGTTTGTGTAGAAAGTCTGACTGTGCTTGGCGCGTTTGGATCAGGCTTTGCTGAGTGGGCAGAACTTGTTAGCATGATGTTTGCTGAATACCAGATGAAACAGAGGCTCTTTTGTGTGGGGCCAGCGCTGGCTAAGAGCAGACCTCTGTCTGTTTAACGCTGTTATCTCAGCTCATGCTTGCTTAAATGTTCTCCTTGCGTATGCCACGTAGACCAGCCTGAACCAACAGAGCTGGACAAAGAGCCTCTTGTGCTCTCAGCTCACCTTCCTAACAGACAGTCTTGTGATTTCACTTCAGCTGTGCAGTTATCTTAAGCTCATCTTAATGTAATGTTCTCTTAAGGTCATAGGGTCTGCTTGTTTACCATACCATACCATATGTGTATGTGTTTGTTTGTTTGTTTGTGTGTGTGTTTGTGTTTGTGTGTGTGTGTGTGTGTATCTGTGTAAGATCTGTATACATAACGTCTGCTTGTTTACCATACCATACCATATGTGTATGTGTTTGTTTGTTTGTTTGTGTGTGTGTTTGTGTTTGTGTGTGTGTATCTGTGTAAGATCTGTATACATAATATATGTATATATATCCGTGCATATATAAGATCTGTAAAGTCACAAAGATTAAAGTCTCTAACCCAAAGAGATATTCTTTCTAAAAGTTAAGACTCATCCATGCCTTCCTAAAACGCCTCATTCAAACATGCCCCCACAAATCTACGTCACTGTGTTAGACGAATTGCATAAAGAAAGGAGGCATAACTTTTATTCTCACTGTAGTATTGTTGCCGCCGCTGCCGTGGAGACGCTGTGTGTTTCCAAATACTGTATGGTAAGGGGCGTAACATTTCTGTCACATGCTTGAGGTATTCGGCCAATCACAATGCACCGGATAGCTGGCCAATCAGAGCACACTGCGCTTTTCAGAACGATGAGCTTTGTAAAAATATTTTTTTTGTTTTTACCTTAAACCACGTAAAAACATTGCATTACACCAAATACACAAAATAATGTTCTTTTGAACAACGTCATATGACCCCTTTAAACATACTACAGTGTAAAACATTTTTCGAAGTTGCAAATAGTGCAAGATTGTTGGAATAAATTTTACAAGAAAATTTCAGCCTTTAAAATTTCATGTTTAATTCATTTTGTTGCTTGACGTTTCATTATATTTATTTGTGAAATATACTAATCATTTTTGAGAGGGAATAGTTTGAAAGTAAATGCTACTCAGTGTATTTCACTGTGGTTTATCATGCTTTAACTAGGAGTTGCACCAGTTTTCCAGTTGAGAAGTTAAAAATAAAGGGAACAAAGCTAGACAGATTACTGACTTGTCAAGTAGTTAAAAACATTTAAAATCTAATGTACTTACAACTTTGTATGATTTTAATATCAATTGCATTATTACAATTAAGTTACATTATCAGTCAAAAGATTTGACAAACATGACGGTTTCTTATGATCTTTTTTTAATAAAAATTTCGAAATTGAAATCTTGAAATTATTTTTGTAGACAAATATAATATGTGCCTTTTGCATTTTATTTTTGTTTAAAATGTTTGCTTTTGTTTTTTAAATCTTTTTATGAGTGAAGGAAACTGATAGTCAAAGAAGATCAGTCAAAAGAACACAAATCCCTCAATCAATACTGTTTAAAAAGTATCCCAGGTAGGGTTGCCAAACCTGCAGTTTTCCCATGAAATTGAGCTACTTTTATGGGTTGATTATGGGATTTGGCTAGTCTTGGTTTATTTTTGATTGGCCAATGGGCTAGTTTTGTTTCGCAGACTTGGTAACCCTGATCCCGGTATGCACCTCATGAAGCTTGTTTGAAAGAGTGAATCAAATGTGCAGAGCTGTGGTCTAGATAAGAAATACAACATTTTAGTTTAACGTAATTCCAATACCTCTATTTGTAATTACATAACTCCCAATATCTCCAATATCAATATCAGTGCTTCACACTGACTGTCCAGTCAGAACAAACATTATTGTGGTTAGTGTCACAACACAGCTGACCTCTGCACTGATGCTCAGACGCCTCTTCAGCATTGCCTTCCCTCTTACACACTCTTTCATTAAGTTCTTCTTACCTATATAGAATGAAATTGAAAGTGTGATCTGGTTTGTTTTTTTGCTCTTTTGCAGGCAGCTGTGTGAAGTGCAACAAGGCTGTGTATGGAGCGAGTCAGGCGTGTCAGGCCATGGGCAACCTGTACCATGACAGCTGCTTCACCTGCAGCGCTTGCAGTAAGTGTGTGTGTCATACAAACTCACTCAAGATATAAGCTCGCTGTCATACGGAAGTAAACACGGGGGCTGCTGAAGTAATCGTTTACACATTCATTTATAAGCTGATGTGCCACCGAAGTCAGCGAATTCGTGAGCAAAGATAAGAAGACACAGAGCAAAATAATGTGTTTTTTTGAACATTAAAGCATGTCAACATATTCTGTTACACCAAATACACAAAATAATGATCTTTAAAAAAGCATCATATGACCCCTTTAAATATTTAAGATAGGACCCCATAAGTTTAGCTTGTATAGAGCTGTCACTGCAATAGTTATAAGTTCAACACCTCTGCGTCTCTCCACTGACTACATCCACAACTGTCTGTCATATTCACCGAGTGATCATACCAGCATATAAAATCTTTGGAGTGACTCCTGTCAGTGCAGAATTATGACGAATGTCCATCTAGTGTGATGTAAATGTCGCATGAATTCCGATATGACCGTTCAGACTGCGGTCGCATTGCAAATCATCTGACCTGAATCGGATTTAGGACCACATATGGAAGTGGCCCAAATCAGAATCGTAAAGATAAGATTCAATGTGGTTTGTGTCATGAAAAAAAAAAGGATTTGTTTAATGCTTTTAAAAGAAGTCTCTTCTGCTCACTAGGCTTGCCGCGATAGACGGTGCTGAAGGTGATACCGGTGTTAAGCTGCAACACCGGTTATGTCACACCCGCCCCCACGGTGATACCGGTATTACCGGTGTTGTCACACGTCGATTAACCGGTGGGAAAATTTCCTCACCGTCACAACCCTACTGCTCACCAGGGCTGCATTTATTTGATCAAAAATACAGTAAAACAGTGATATTGTGAAATATTATTACAATTTAAAGTAACTGATTTATATTTGTATTTATATTTTTATGTCTATTGTTTCAGCTGTTATAATGGAATCTTTTGTCCCTGTTTGTTGCTAATATGTATGTGCACAGATTTATGTTTGACGGTCAAATTTGAAGCTGTAGGTCTGGTCTGTGTTGGATGTCAGGCTTCATCTCAGTTTGTCTGTGTTTTGTAAATGATTTAGCTTGTGGTTCGGGCGTATATGTGTGTGTTCGGAGCATATAGGCTGACAGGCAACAGCACTGGGTCTGACTGAACTAAACTAAACAGAGCCCATGCACTGCGGTGAAGTTCAGATAAACCTTCATTCCATGCATTCATCCAGTCTTGTTGCCTCACTCTTTATTTAGCTCCGCTCTGGCCCCTGGGACTGGCAGTTATTTGAAGGAAAATGAGCATTCCTGAGCTTCTCCTCTGCATGACTGCCTCTGACCCACAGCGTCGCTCTCCGCAACGGCTCTTTAGTTCTCTGTGTGTGTCCAGAGTCTTGTTATGAGCGCAGTAAACGTGTACGTGTGTACCTCCACATGTTTACACGGATTACGAGACTAAAGATAGTGAGAATGCACAGCGCATAGTTGCGCAGGAGAGAGCGGTTGCCCGCTAGAGAGGAATGCGGGGAGCGTGTGAGTTAGGTGGGCTTACGGGTCCGATGAGCAGATGGAGGAATGTCTGATGTGTTTGGTCAGCTGGAGCCAGAGAGTGAATGAGAGAAACAGGTGTTTGATCTCCTGGGTCAGAGTGCAGTACGTAAATGAAGACACGAATGCTTGGCCAATGCATTGCAAGTGCACAGTCCCTCTGTACATACATACCAACACAGTAACGAAAAAGGATTTCGCTTCAGCTGTAGGACTCTATAAAATCTGTTTAATTTTTTACCAAATTCATTTTTTTTTACTAAGTTCTGTTTTTTCATTTTTAAATATTAGAATTATTATTATTATGCTGGGTTCTATTATATTTTGTTAAAATTAAATTTAGTAGTCAAAAAGCATGTCTAATTAATTGAAATCATGAAACTTATACAGTTTAACAACAAATAAATTTTGTTCCCCAAATTCTGTTGTATTTTCTCAAATTCTATGTTTCCTTTCTTTTTTTTTTTTACTATGGATTCCATTTTAATGTGTTAATTAAATTTTAATAATCAAAAACATGTCTAATCATTTGAGATCAGGAAACTTTAACAATTTGATTATCGATTTATTAAAATTAAAACAGAAGAAAAACTGTAATATTCCTTATTAAGAATGTTTTAATAATTTTATTACTACTATTTTTGTTATTGCATTTAGAAATACGTTATGCTATTATTCTGTATTCACAATTTCTTCAAGTTGACTCAAACTTTTATTTTGACAGGTTGTCGTAAAGACCTTTTCTTGTGTTCCTGTGTGTGTGTATATGATGGTAGTTGTTTTTTTTTATTAAATAAATTTCATTTTTATGACTAAATTCTGCGATTCGGTCCATGTTAGAAATCATAGAGCCCTACAAATGTCTGTGCCTTTAAAGGGGTCCTATTATGCTTTTTCACTTTTTGAATTTTAGTCAGTGTGTAGTGTGTATGTTTGGGCATAAAAAAGATCTTCAAACTTACAAATCTCAAAGTCCACTCCAAAGGGAGATATTTAGTTTTTAAAAAATCCCTTTTCAAGAACTACAACGAACGGCTCGTTTGGACTACAGCGTTTGTTTTCCGGGTTTTGTGATATCACAAAGCGGCCCATTAGAACATCATTAAAATAATTCCCGCCTACAGAAATCCGATTTATGAGACTACAGTGTTTCCCATACATTGAGTGTGGGTGTTTTTATATCACTATATTTCTGACAGAAAATTGGATGCCATTTTCATTTAATCTTGCATGTAATGTCTAAAAGAAAGCAGTGTTTTTTTTGAGCGGAGTGCTGCTTTGTGTACAGATGTTACCAGGGAAACCTTGATCTCTACCACACCAACAGTGCCTCCTGCTGGCAGATAATGAGTTTGCATATATATGCCGCCTGGGAAACACTGGACTATGGTATAAATAAATTCAACTGTATAACAGTTTCACTGCAATTCATGTTATAATGTTAGAATTAAATAACAATAAAAATAATACATATGCACTTATCTGTACATAGTAAATGCAGTTATTTTAAGCGATAGTTGACATCCTATCTAAAACGTGATTTAGCCACAAAAAACAACAATAACGTTACCACTCTCATATGTCTTGCAATATCTGTGCGTGCAAAGGTTCTGCGCGATCCTCTTGTTCAATATTCTCTGGGTCTGAATCCGGCTCAAATTGATATGGCAATATTGACGCCATCCTTAACTAAACTTGCTGCTTTGGCAAGGGGCGGGGCAGTACTGAAACACCGTCTAAGCTGTTCGCCAATCACAACGCACTGGGACAGCTAACCAATCACATCACATTTCGTTTTTCGGAAGCCGGGCGTTCATCAAACCTGGAACTAATCGAGCTGTTTGTGCCAGACTGGGGAGAAAGGTGTTGTAATAATGTAAATTATGTAAAAAATTAAGCGTTTTTCGAACCACCAAGCATGAGAGCATGTTCTAGTACACCCCCAAAACAAATTCAAGACATTGTAAAAGAGCATAATAGGACCCCTTTAAAGTTATTCCAACTGTTTTAACTTGCTCAAGATTCAAGAACATTTTAGTTCCCCTCACTCCAATTAAATCTTTTCAATTTTATGATTTTCAGAACAGAACAGGAATGAAATCTGTTGGTGTAAAACAAACATAAATTCATTTATTATAAAATGGCAAGCCTAAACAAATTTATTTGAAGCAAAAAATATGCAATACAAATAAAATTGGGCTCATGTTCCTCTTTAATTTTGGAAAAATTCAAATATGTTTGCTTTGTGCATGTTTTGAATGCTTGATGTTAATTGTACTATGTAAGTCATGGAAAGTTTCAGAAAAAATGAAACGTATATTCCAGAAAATACAGTAAATAGACACCAAAATGGATAAATGTTGGGCTGTAATTTGGCCATAGTTTTAGCCATCAGATACTGAAGACACTTTGTAAATGATTTATTCTACAGTATAGACTAGTGATGGTAAGATTCACTGATTTGCATCGGTGCAAAGTTAACGACGCGATGCATCAATTTAAAAAATGTTGGCATTTGTATCATGATGCATCGCTTCTAACATATTTTGCATTGGTAAAAACTATATATAATTTTTAGTAGATGCACTATATTTTTATTATCTAGAAAGTGACCAATAATTTGTCACCAATATTTGTGTATTATGTAGATAGATTTCTCCTCTCTAAACGGTTTCTCAAGCGCGTTCTCTCATCACCACTGCTGCTACGTGAATGTGACGTATCGCAACACTACGGAGACCGAGGCATGTCCTGAGAGTCACATATAGATTGCCATGGCTGTCTGTCTGAACCAAAGAAATAAAAGCCAACTATCTGTACCATATTGAATTGCATAGCATCATATTTTTTTCTATTGCATTGAATCGCATTGTGTTAAATCTAATTGAAATCGGATCGCACTGCATCATAATAGTGGTGAATCGTATTGCATCGCGTCGGTTTTGCACAGCTGCTTCATATGTATCTTTAATGTATTGTATCGTTGGCTATGCATCGATATGCGTATCGCATTGCCCTCAATTATGGAGATGCGCATCCTTAGTATAGATGTCTTCTGTGATTGTAAGTCCACAACTCAAACTGTCAGCGAGCTCAAAACTACAGTGTCCTAGTTTTTGCGTGTCACTCAAGTTGCTTAATATAATTTATTCCAAATAAAAAATAAAAAATAAATTTTTATGTTGCAGATTGAGCTGGATCAATGCTCTATGCTCAAACTGATCTCTCAGTTATATCCTACAGAAGAATTCTTGCTGTGTTTAGATCGGAGGGCTTCGTCAAGCAGAGAGACTTAGAAATAGCATCATAGACTACACAAACGGCCCATATAAGGGAAAGTGTGAAGGAAAACATCGCAAAGCCCCCATAATACTTAAAATGTCAACAGGCCGAGAAGAAATGCTTTGATTTCTGGCTTCTTTTTGGACACGCTTCATGGACTTCAGAAAGTTGTGCAGGAAATG